ACGATGGAGTAGTGGTGGTCACTGTGAGCTACCATGTAAATGGCATGCAAATGTGCACCTGCACCGAGGAAGTGGAATGAAGAACTGTGGCCTTTTGATTAGGTTCCTTTCCCTCGCATGAAGTGTACTTTTCTGCAATGATCATCCATGTCTGCCATTTCAGCCAATGAACATGTTGAACATGTGAACAAGCCCAAAGTGCAATTAATGCGCATGCTAACGGTTTCTATTTTAAGCTCAGTGGATGGGTTGTTGAAAGAGCCTAAGTGCCATCGTAGGTTAAATTTAATCTAAAATCAAACAGATAAGACAGGAGTGATGAGATCAATTATTATTTGTGATTTGCAATCTCTGAGCACTGATTGAAATGGGCTCTGCGAGAACGGCATGCCACAGTACTCTATATTCTATAATGATCATTGTCATCAGGGCTGCTTTTTTCTCTGAATACCTGAAAACCTTGAATGTCTTTAAGGACCCTGGGCAGGTATGCAAAATTAATTCATACGGTCTTTACAGGCGGTCACAGAGTTATTTTTTTGCCATTTACAAAATCTAAGGGCACGCAAAATGTCAGCCGTGGTATTAGATTACCAGAGCCACAGAACAAATTTCATGCACTAACCAAGGAATCTTTTTCCGATGCCTGCATTTTAATTCTGCCTCTTATCTGCTTCCTTTCAGTGAAAGTATAAGAGAAGTATGCAGCTAGTTCCCTAGCCAAGGGTGAAACAGCACATAGCGGCTCTCGGCTGGGAGAAGGCGCTCTGACAGTGATCTTTCCATCAGTTCACTCATCCTTCCAGTGTCCTCCAACACAAGCCATCACTCTAGCAGTCACATCTCTCATCTGCTATTTGTTTCTTCTTTTTTTTCACTGTAAGACCACTGCTGTATTTTATAACTCAGTGATAAACTATGTGTCTACCTTTATTGCTCCTGAGCCCAGTGGCACTGAATTGGTTAAGCGCCTCCTTCTCTTGCTGCCACTGAGCTCCACCTCCAGGATCTGGCTCTAGACCAGTGGAGCAAGAGACCTAGGACCGCCTAAACATAAAGGGATGATTGTGGCAGCCCAGTGACATGGAAGCAAGTAGTTCTGATGAAACTGACCGTCAGCTTCAGGTCTGCAGGAACTGAGTCAGTGAGCTGTAGTTGTTTCAGCTCAGCCAAATAAAGGCACTATGAGACGCACTCAAAGCCGATTACAATAAACCAATGAGGAAGCATTAGCCAACACAGCTAACTAGGACTTTAACTGCAGGGAGAGCTCGTCTGAGGCCAGGGCAGGCCTCGGGTTGCACACCGCATGCAAATTTCTGAGGTGTCAACAAACGTACTCTCATCTTTAATCAAGTGCCTACGTCAGCGACATTTTGGTGACATCGGCGTACTATTAGAGTTTGGAAAATGATAATGACATACTTGCTTAAGTCCAAAACAAAATTTTGAAATATGAAAACTTTATTATTTCAGTTCTTTTGAATCTAGACAGCAACCCAACAGATATAGTTTAAAGGAAAACGTTACCAATTTATGCACGCACATTTCTTTTAGTTAAGTACTTAACTAAATATATGGTGTCTGAGCATGCCACATGATGGGCTTTGTGAAGCTACTGCCTATCAACTGCATGGGCACAACACATTTATTTATCTTGTCGATCTTGCTGGCAGAAAACAGGCAAACCTGATCTGCTGGCTTCTTTGAGGGCTCACATTAAAGCTAGTGTAGAGACCGAGATGTTGCTCATGCGGTCTAAATCGCAGTGGAGAATGTTAGCTTGACAGGTGGTGCAGTACAGTGATTAGGACTAAGGCTTTAATGAATTTCCAATCATCAAATTAACTTCTTGCAGTAATCTTATTAATGATAGATCCATCTACACAGCATTTGGTGGGAAATAGCTCAAACCTTGGTCGCTGTGACACCACTGTGCAGGGCAGAAACAAAAGCAGTCTGCAGAGGGTTGTTGTTGTTGTGCAAACTACAGACAAAAGCAAAGGCAGCTTTGACGAGTTAAATGAATTAAGAATGCTTACAAGTGACTGTGCATATTGCAAACCTAGCAATATGAGATTAAAAAAATGGGAAAAATGTCAACAAGAAAGGTCTAAATATGAGGGGAAATGACCCAAAGTGCTATATGTAAAGGCTAACAGTCTTTTCTTAAAGTCTGCACAGTAGCACATAGTGCACAAACAGCACAATGATTAATTTGACTTTATTGCAAGACAGAAATAGCAGCAGCAGCCTCCAGTTAAGAGTCCTTGAATATAAAGGGAGGCCAGGCAGTACTGATAAGATTGTCTCATCTGGCTTGCAGGGGTAAAGTGCATTGTGCAGCCTGGGAAAAAAGAAAAAAAATGGAAGGCAGGATGTGGCTACTATTAGGCAGGTAATGGGATCCATCTGAGATGCATTAGAATCAGTCAAACACAACCACACTTCAGTTCCATTCAAATGACTGTCACAATCACTTCAAATGCACACCTCCAGCATGTACTGTAGGTGACAAAAAAGTGTCTCTGGCTGTGGAGCAGCTCCTCTGAAGTTGTGCCAGGCTCAGGCACTTTCCTAATAGTGACGGCTGGGAGAGTGGCAGTGAGACTGATGTGCATGAGAGCTGTCAGCCTCTGCCCATAACAAATGCCACATCTCCACCGTGACAGAATGGAGACAGAAGGGAGGGACTGAGGTGGGAGGGAGAGGAGGTGTGGAGGTTACAGACAAAACCTGTGACCCAATTGTGGCCACACCAGCTGTTTCTCCTTCACTGCCTCCCAACCACCGCCTTCTCTGCAGACCACATCCTGCTAATTGGCGACATAGCA